GCGCACCCTTTGTGCGGCGTCGCTAGACAAGCCCGGCTGTCCTGCGCAAGCGCAGTCAAGGACTCGGTCCTGCAGTAGGTTTGAGTTTGGGACACCGTCTTTACCTGCTCTGCGAAGTTCCAAAGCCACTTGTCAAAGCAACCTAGTGAGGAGTCTTTTCACCCCGGTGCGCTTGCTAGGAGTTAAGTTCGCTCGCACCCTGGAATAGGGCTGGGGGACGGGGGTTGGGGACTTGGTCGCTGGCTGGGAAGACCCCAGTGGAGCAGGCCGACCGAGAGGGATGCGCACCGTGCGGCCAGGAGCGCGGGGAGAACGCCGAAGGGGCACCCAGGCGCACGCGGCAGGGCTGGCCAGTCGAAGAAGGCACGGACGCCTTCCTAGGAGTTTCGGAAATAGGACTAGAGAGTGCAGTCCTGTATGTGTCTAGATGAGGGGTGGAGCACGAGAGGTGACATTTGATCCTAAAAGCTCTTAATTTCCAAAGCCACCTAGTGAGGAGTCTTTGTTTAGCCCAYCAGCTAGTGGGTAATAATACATTGGAACAAGGCAAGGGTTGGGAAAAAGGAGTGGAGTGAGATTAAGGGAAATGGAGGTAACTGGGCTCTGTGACCAGTTGGATTTGGAGAGTAAAAGATGATTCTTGCTTGATTCTCAGGTTCCAGAATAGAGCGGCCGCTAAGTGAGGAAAAGAGGGATCGAGGGCAGTACAGCTCCTGGGTACTGTAGAGAAGGCGGGGTCTTTGAAGAGTCTCAGCGAAACTCTGATCCCAAGAGGATTCCCTGCTTTTGCACGCAGTGCCTGAGAGACATCAAACTGAGGAAATAATACCAAACAAAAAAGTTCAGTAGGCGGGAGCACTTCCCAACTCATTTTACCAAATAGGCATCTCCCAAGCCGAAACCAGAGATTAAATGAAAAAAGCAAAACAAAGAACCCTTTAGATTACCATATTTTATGAATCCATATGGAAATATAAACAAGGCAAATTCAACAGTATATAAGAACTACCTTGACCAAATGTGATTGATTGATCTAGGAATCAAGATCAAGGTTGAAAGCATTAGAAAAACAACAATAAATTTAATTTACCATATAAACAATATTAAGGAGAAATAATAGATGGTTTCAGTAAATAAAAAACATACGACGACAAAATTCAATTTTTATTTGTAATTTTTTTTTCTCAGTGCTGGGATTGAACCAGGGGCAGTTTACCACTGAGGTACATTCCTAGCCCTTTTTAATTTTTATTTAAAAATTGAATAAAATGGCTCACTAAATTACTGAGGCTGGCCTCAAACTTGTGATCCTCCTACCTCCTGAGTTCATGCACAGACAAGCACCACCATACCCAGCTATTAATGAATTAAAAATATAAAAAAATTTTAAAAAGCTTAACAAGTGCTGGGGTTGTGGCTCAGTGGTGGAGCACTTGTCTCACACGCATGGGGAACTGGGTTCAATCCTCAGCACCACATAAGTAAATAAAATACAGGTATTGTGCGCATCTACAACTGGGAAAAAAAAGGCTTTAAAAAAACTTTTAACAAACTAGCAATAGAAAGAAACTTTCTGGTTTGGGGGGTGGGGATTGTTGGTTTTTGTTTGTTTTCTTTTTGTTTTTGTTTTACTTTTGGCTGAGCTGGGGATCAAACCCAGGGTCTCATGTATGCCACCATGCTATAGCTCCAGGTCCAAAATAAATGTTCTCAAACTGATAAAGGACATCTACAAAAAGCCTATCACCAACAGCACAGTAACAGGTGAAAACCAGAGTTTCCCTAAAAGCCAAGAAGGTAAGCATGCCCATTCTTACCACTTCTATTCAATATTTTACCTGAGGTGCTAACCTGATCAGTAAAGCACAAGAAGGAAAAGGCACACTGATGAGAGAGGAGGAAGTAAAACTCTACTCACAGATATCATGACTTAGGGTACAAAAAAGCTACTGGGACTAATAAGCAAGCAGAAAACACAGAATACAAGACTAATATACAAGAAAAGCCACAATTGTGTAGAGTGCTTGCCTAGCACACACACAAGAACCTTCGTTTGATCCTTAGCAATACACAAGTACACATACACAAACTGTAATTCTGTATACTAACAGCAATTTGAGGAAGACATTTTTAAATATATACCATATGCTGTGGCATCCAAAACATGAAGTATGTAAAAATAAATCTGGGCTTGGGATGTAGCTCAGTGGGTAGAGAGTGCTAGTCTCACATGCACAAGGCCCTGGCTTCAATCCCCGGCATCACAAAAAATAATAATAAATAAGTAAATTTAACAAGATAGATGTTAGGGCTGGGCACAGTGGCTTGGGAGACTGAGGTGGGAGGATCTCAAGTTCAAAACCAGCCTCAACAACTTGGGGAGGCCCTAAGCAACTTAGCGAGACCCTGCTTCAAAATAAAAAAGGTTGGGAATGTGGCTCAGTGGTTAAGCACCCGTGAGTTCAATCCCTGGTACAAAAAAAAAAAAAAAGATACAGATCTGTACTCTAAAATCTACAAAACACTGCCAAGGAATATTAAAGATCTAAGTAGACTGTAATGTGTTCATGGATTGAATAACTCAAAACTATGTCAGTTATCCCTATATTGATCTTTGCATTCAATAAAATCCCAATAAAAATCTCAAAAGGGTTTGTTAAAGAAATTGGCATACTGATTATAAAATTTACATGAAAACGCAAAGAATCTGGAATCACTAATGCATTTTAAAATAGAATAACAGAGCTAGTGGACTTGTGATTTCAAGATTTTCTATGAAACTAGAGTTATCAAGACATTGTGGTATTGGCCTTAGAGCAGGCATATAGAACAACTTTTACAGCTGATTTTCAACAAAGGTAAAACAATATGGAAAGGATAATATTCAAAATTGGTGCTACAGCCAGGTATGGTGGTGCACACCTGTAATCCCAGCAGCTTGGGAGGCTGAGGCAGGAGGATTATGATTTCAAAGCTAGACTCAGCAATTTAGCAAGTCCCTAAGCAACTCAGCAAGACCATGTCTCTAAATAAAATACATTAAAGGGCTGGGGATGTGGCTCAGTGGTTAAGCACCTCTGGGTTCAATCGCTGGTACCTATATATATGTTGGTGCTAGAGGAAATGGATATGCCATTGGGAGGCAGACATTGATCGTCACCTAAGAGTATTCACAAAAGAGTATACTCAAAACATTTCATAATGTTTCAAGTTAAGCCAGATGTCTTAACAAGCCAAAACTATTCAAAAAAAAAATGGGTTTCATCAAATCTTGAAAAGATACTATCTAATGGAAATGAAAAATCTTTGAAATACATAATTTGACCCAAAACAAGCATACAGCATATATAAAGAATATATACAACCCAATAAGAAAAATAACTCTTTTAAAATATGCAAAATAGGCCTAGGGTTGTGGCTTAGTGGTAGAGCGCTCACCTAGCACATGAGAGGCCCTGGGTTCAATCCTCAGCACCATATAAATATAAATAATTAAAATAAAGGTATTGTGTCCAACTACAAAAATATGCAAAGTATCTTGGTGTGGTGATGCATGCCTGTAATCACAGCAGCTCACACAGGCTGAGGCAGGAGGATCGAGGACCTAAGCCACTCAGTGAGACCCTCTCTCTAAATAAAATACAAAAGGGGATGGAGATGTTGTTCAGTGGTTAAGCATCCCTGGATTCAATTCCTAGTACCAAAAAAACAAAAACAAAAACAGGTAAGACAATGACTAGCATGGAAATAATATCATACTGTATATCACTAGACTGTAGGGTTGTTGCAAAGAATAAATATGATATTTATTTTGTATTGAGTTTCAGCATCTATCCATCTTTAAAAGCTATTTATCTATATGTTAAAATCCAGTTGTATTTAGGACTTAAAAATAGACAAAATACTTGAACAGGAATTTTTCAAATGACTGTATACACAAGACCAGTAATTGCTTTAAAAGATGCTCAATATCATTTTTCAACAAGGAAATACAAATAAAAACCACAAATTAAATATCGCTAGAAAATCAAATACATCCACTGGAATGGCTAAAGTTAGGAAGAGTGACAATGTCAAGTGTTGACGAAGATGCAGAGCAATCAGAATCCCCACACTTCGCAGGCAGAGATGAAGAATGGTGGCCAATTGGAAGAAGGAGCATGCACTAGGCTTAGTGAATCCCTGTGGCTGTGACAGTGGTTCTCACTGAGTGGTCCTGCACCAGCAGCAGCGGCCTCACCTGAGTGCTTGTTAAAGATGCAAATTCTCTTGGCCCCACTTAGACTTCTTCAATGGGAAATTGAAGGTCAGGCCCAGCAAAGTGTGTTTTAATGAGCCCTCCAGGTGATTCTGAGGCACAGAGGAGGAGAGAATAGGATGGGGGAAAGGACTGCTTCTTGGATGCTGATTGGACAGCTCCCCTTCCTCCTCCCCTTCCCAGGCTTGTTTAACAGCCTGGTGTGGGCATCAAGCCCTCTGGTGAATGGGGACGAGGCTGAAGTCAGTAGGACAACCTATGACCTGAGCAACAGCAAGGTGAGATTCAGGAGGGGCTGAGGAAGGCTGGGACCCAAGGCATGAGTAGCATTAAGCCCAAACTATACATTCTGTCTGTTTTCTGAGACCCCCACCCCAATGAGTTCACACACACCCTGGCACCCTCCCACAGGGCTGGGAGGGCTCAAAAAGTGATCTCACAGCAAGCTGGGCTTGACAGAACCGCCTTTCTCTCCCTGGTACTGCTGTTTCGGGTCTGGGCTGTCCTCATCTGTAGGGCCATGGATATTTGTCTATCCTCCAGGAGTTTATAATGAGCCCTTGACCATGGCGCCACTCTTAGGCTGCAACCAAGGCCTCATCACCTAACCCTGCTGGCCCATGGGGCACCACTCAGCTGACAAAGAGTAGTGCTGAGTACCAAGCAGGGTCCCCAGACCTTGACTCACGGCAGGCCCCCTCATTACAGCTGCCCRGCCACGCCCACTGCTCTGCTCAGCGACATGAGTCGCCCCAGCATCAGCAGCACAGCTGAAAAAGCAAAGACCCTGCTCTGGGGTGAGTGAGGGCCAAGAGCAGCCCCGTCCACCCTCCCTGTCCCCAGCAGAGGCGGGATGGAGATGCTGATAACCTTCCCCTGGGGGTGGGCTGCAAGGGAGCTTGGAGAGTTCTCATGGGCYTCCCAGCCCCAGCCCCAGCCCCACCCGTCCCTCTCCCTTGGCAGGTAGTGAACTAAATCTGGAGAGGCGAAGTTGCACCTTCAGACCTCAAGCGGAGAGGAAGGAGAGCTGTAGGCTGTTGCTCAATGCGGTGGGTGCCCCTCAGGGAGGGGAGGAAAGAGGGAACAGAAGGGATTCTCTGTTCCCAGTGAGCGACAGTAGAATTCCAAGATCTGCTCTTGGGGTGATGAAGTGCCTCTGTTTGCCACCACCCTCAGATTTGCCTGGGGGAGAAAGCCAAAGATGAGGTGAACCGTGTGGAGATCGTGCCCCCGACAAACCAGGAAGACAAGAAGACGCAGCCCATCACCATTGCCTCACTGAAGGCTTCGGTCCTACCCATGGTGAGCCTTTTCCCCACAGCTGCCTCCACCCCGCTCAGGACCTCATACACTAAAAGTCCTGCTGTACTGCTGGAGAAGCAATTTAGTCCACCACTCAGAGCCTGCTTTTCATCTCAGCTTCAGGACTTTGGGCAAGTCAAATAACTTCCCTTCAAAAATTCCAGTTTTAAACCAGGCGCAGTGGCACAGGTCTGTAATCCCAGTGGTTTAGGAGGCTGAGACAGGAGGATCGTGAGTTCAAAGCCAGCCTCAGCAACAGAGAGACGCTAAGCAACTCAGTGAAACCCTGTCTCTAAATAAAATACAAAATAGGGTTGGGGATGTGGCTCAGTGGTCAAGTGCCCCTGAGTTCAATTCCCATTACCAGGGGGGAAAAAATTCCAGCTTTAGTTGGGCACACATTTGTAATCCCAGTGCCTAGGGAGGCTCAGGCTGAAGGATGACAAATTCAAGACCTCACTCAGCAACTTTGCAAGACCCTGTCTCAGAAATAAGAAGTGCCCGAAATGTGACTCAAAGAGCTCCCCTGGTTTCTACCACCTCTGTCAGAGAAGGGCAGGTTACAGCTTTAAACTGTTCACTGCTAGTGAAAGAGACACTTGGTACGCATATTGGTTTTATATGCAGAAATTTTCTTGTTTTCTTATTTTTTCCAGTGCCAGGGATAGAACCCAGGGCTTTGTGCATGCTAGGCGAGCACCCTACTCCTGAGCTACAGACCTAGCCCCAGAAGTTCTCTATTTCTAATAATTTATCTTAGCTTTTCTGTACAATTAAGCAGTGTTTGTGAATAATGTCAGTTTTGTTGGTTTTTTTTTTTCCTTATTCTTCTGTAATCCTACTACACCCCTGCACTGGTGAGGGTCTGGGAGGTAATACAGATGGACTTGTGTTCTGATAAATGCAGAGTGGAGAATGATTTACTACACCTAACCACCTTACCACACTGCCCAGGGTTGGTTATTTGCCTGCAGAATGTGGGGCTGACAGGGCCACAGCTCCTTGCAGTTACTCGCTATCAACAGAAAGGATTGAACCATGTGTGACTAGGCCGGGAAAAAGTCCAAAGTGAGTATTCAGATATGGTTTCTATTGATGTGTGCGGCTTTCATAATGCTTTATGAAATGTGAGTTGAACCATCGTTAAATCGGGGATTGTTTGGGATAAATGTAAGAATAGTTTTCTTCCTGATTTTTTGTTGTTGTTTGGTCTGGTTTTTTGTTGTTTTGTTTTGTTTTTGTTTTTTTGTACTAGGAAATGAATTCAGGGACACTTGAGCACTGAGCCATATCCCAACCTTTTTTTTTTTTTTTTTTTTTTTTTTTTGAGACAGATTCTCACTGAGTTGCTAAGGGCCTTCACTAAGTTACTGAGGCTGGCTTTGAACTTCTGATCTTCCTGCCTCAGCCTCCCAGAGCCACTGAAATTATAGGTGTTCTTCCTGTGTGTTTGTTTGTTTTGTTTTAAATGCTTCTAATGCTCCTTTATTAAGTATGAAGTGTTTGGCATATATCCTTTCCAAGTTAAGAAAGCCTTTGTTTCTTATTAAACAAAGTCCTTTTAAAATTTAAAAATTAAATTTTATCAAATGCTTTTCTATTCTTATGATCCTGGGATTGTTATTCTTTATTCCATTAATATAGAAAATTATATTAATAGAATAATATATGAATCTCTTTACATTCCTGGAATAAACACTACTGGATTACATAACTTCTAGATTTGCTTTGCTAATGTATTATAGAAATATATTTACATATTTACCTTTCTTCTATACTCTTAAATGAGATTGGTCTATAAATTATCTTCTTGGGAATAAGGCATAGTAGCCTCATGAACTGAGGATGAAGTGTTCCCTCCCTCTGTTCCCTGAAACAGTGAGCAAAAGTCTATGCTTAGTAGTCCTTGAATCTTTGGGATTCCCATCTATAAAACTGCCCTCAGACCTACTTTCTTCTCAATCTACAAACACTCCCTAGAGGGTTTCATCCAGTCTCTTCGGTTTAAAAACCCTCTAGACAAATGAAGACTTTGAAACCAGTTTCTGTAAACCCAATATCTATCTATCTATCTATCTATCTATCTATCTATCTATCTATCTATCTATCCTGATCCTATCTCCAACTCAATATATTTAGTAAAAGCCAGGTGTGTGGCTCAAGCTTGTGATCCCAGCTATTTGGGAGGCTGGGGTAGGATGATCACAAGTTCAAGAACACCCTTGGCAATTTAATGAGACCCTATCTCAAAAATAAAAATAAAGAGCTAGGGATGTAGCTTAGTGGTAAAGTGCCCTTAGATGATTCAATTCCCCAGTACCAAATATATATATAATATATATGTACTTACACCAATGTACATATGTATATACCTATATATTTAATAGAAATCTAATAGATCTCCCAAACCTAACATGTGTAAGCCCAAATTCTTGATTTTTATCTGTAATCCCCTGCCCATCTTCTCCCAAATAGCTGTTCTTCCAATTAATCATACAAAATGTCTTTTTGTCTCTCATTCCCTATCTTACCTGCAAACAAACCCTATTGGCTCTACCATTATAATATACCTGAGCCAGTCCTGTCTCGCCACCTTCCAGCTATACCCTGGTACGGGAGACTGCACTTCCTCCTTTATTTTATTATGGGACCTACCAACTGTTCTACCTTCCTTCCCCTACAGTTATTCTCCTGGGGTAGGCACACACAGGGCTGAATCTAGCCCACTGCCTGTTTTGTAAGTAAAGTGCCATTGGAACTCAGCCACACTCCTTCATTTCTATATTGTTCTTGGCTGCTTTGCCTCCATAACAGCAGAGCTGGATAATCTCAACAGAGACCACACAGTTTGCAAAACTAGAATATTACTGAGCTAGGTAGGGTGGTGCATAGCTGTAATCCCAACAACTCAGGGGGCTGAGGTAAGGAGACTGAAAATCCAAGGTCAACCTAGGCAACTTGGTAAGACCCTATCTCAAAATTAAAGTTGGGGGTGGATGTTGGGGATATAGATGGGGGGACAGTGCCCCTGGGTTCCATCCCCAGTACCCCCCCCCCAAAAAAAAAATCTGGCCCCTTACAGAAAGGGCTGATCCATTTTGTACAAAGCTTCCAGAAAGATCCCTCTGTTTGTTTGTTTGTTTATTTATTTATTTATTTATTTATTTATTTTTATTTGCGTGAGTGTGGTGCTGGAGATGGAACCCAGGGCTTCACTGCATGCCAGGCAAGCATCTACCACTGAGCTACACTCCCAGACCTGGAAAGATCCTCTTAAACACAAGTGAGATCATGTTGTGTCAATGGCTTCCCATTCTACTCAGAGTAAGRTTCGAGAGTTTAAGCTGGGCAGGGTAGCACACACCTGTAATTTCAGCAACTCCCTAGGCTGAAGCAGGAAGATCACAAGTTTGAGGCCAGGCTCCAGAATTCATTAAAGCCCTAAGCAACTTAATGAGATGCTGTCTCAAAAATTAAAAAAGGGCTGGGAATGAAGCACCCCTGAGTTCGAATCCTTGTACAAAAAAAAAAAAAAGAAGTCATGTAGCCCAGCTCAAAGCCCTCAGCAACCTCCTTAAACCTGTTCAAACCACATTGGTTTCCTTGACTCTACCTTTGAAATAATTTGGAGCACTCTAACACTGAGCTACATCCTCAGCCCTTTTGTTATTTTGAGACAGGAGCTTGCCAAATGGTAGAGGCTTGCCTAGATCTTGTGACCTTCCTGCCTCAGCCTCCTAAGTCCCTGGGATTATAGGTGTGCTTCCCCATGCCCACCCCCTGAATATCTCTAAAATGCCAAGTGCTCACCCTCCTTAGCATCTTTGCCTTGACTGGTTCCCCCTGTGTGTTCCAGGGCTTGCCTTCCCACTTGAGTCCAGTCTTGGTTCCCATGTCATCTCATCTGGGAGGTCTTTCTTGACCACGAGCAGCATGGCCTCTTCCTGCCTCACCCATGAGTCCCCCCACCCACACACACACACCATGGGACCCATCACTAGCATCAGTTTTCATTTGTGCACTGTCTTTCTCCCCAACCAGAATGTAAGTTCCAAGAGAGCAGGGTTTGTCCTGTTTAGTGTGCTGCATTATCTGTGAAGCCTACGTAATAGTGCCTGCCATAGCGTAGGCATTCCATGTACCATGAATGAGTAATTAAAAGAATGAATTATATAGAATTGGTATGATTTTAAGCTATTATAATTTATCTAATGGATCCACCCAAATGTTTTTATTTCTTTGAATCAGTTTGTCAGCTTTATTGAGGTAGAATTCATGTCATGCCATTTAACAGTGTTAAGTGCACAACTGGATGTGTGTGTGAATGGTTTAATTGTGTGGCCACAACCACAATCAAGGTAGAGAAAATTCCCATCACTTTCCAAAACTTCCCTCTGCCTCTTTGATAGCCCTTTCCACCCATGCCTGACTCTGTCAACCATGGATCTACTTTCTACCACTGTGTTCTTCATTTTCCAGAATTTAACTTAAATGAAATCGCGTAGTATGTAGTCCCTTGTGCCAGATTCTTTCATTTGTCGTAATGCTTTTGAGATTTATCCGTATTGGTAAACAGTCACGTGCTCCTTTCTGTGTTGGAGTAGCACGCCATGCTATGGCTCCATGTCATATTTGTTGAATAACCTATTTAGGAACATCTGGGTGGTTCCCAGTGTTAAACTATCATGAATAAAAAATGTCATGACTATTCGAGTGTAAGTCTTTGGGAAAATGTTCCATTTAGCTTGAGCACAATGGTGGAAGTGAATCACTGGCTCCTATAATAAGCATATATTCAACTTTATACCAAATGGCCAGTTTATTTTCCAAATTGCTGTGTGATTCTTGCCTTCCTACCAGCAAAGTTTAAGGAATCCAGTTGTCCCTTTTTACAACATACCTCTCACAGCTCGTGTCTCTGTTGGGCATTTGTCTATCTTCCTTGGAGAATTATTGATTCAAGTCTTCGTTGTTTTTTTTTTTTCCCCTTTGGGTTTCAG